TTAGAAAAACATTTAAATGCCAATACCTTTTTTTGGTAGTAATGGGAGGATTGTTGTAAGGATAGGTCCGAGATCCTTAACCTCAGACGTACTATAACAATTCCTCGATAGCCGAAGTGAAGTTAAGCCCAGCATTTATGGTCAAACGGCTGCACGATAAATACAGTGGGCATACCCACACCTGATTTATTACATAACTCTCCAGTCCCGAATTTGTAGTCGAATTTGTAGCTGATCCCGAGTTTATCTCCTTAAGGGGCACGTCACACTCCGATTATCTTGCTTGGCATGCCACATGGGTTCCTCACTGAAGCCTATAAATACCCCCCAGGGGCCACGTCAAAAAGGTAATTGTAACCTTCCGAAAGCTCCTTTTTCTTTAGTCCAGAGATAGACCCGATTATTGTTAACTTAAGCATCGGAGTGTCTACCCCGAGAACCCACCTCGAGGCTTTACAAGTTCATCCGAAGTGAAGACACAGATTGAAGAAGGATCTCTAGTTTGGTGCAATTATAGTTTCTAAATTAGTGAAAGGGATGTATCTTATGTGCTATCCATGATTTATGGAAGAATTTGTAGAGATGGCAATTTCTTCCAAAACTGGTAGAGTTTTGTGGAGATTTTTAATCGTGGAGATGAAGCCCAGTTACAGCATTTCAGCAAACCCCATCTGGGGAATTGAGATTGTTGATTTATCAGCCATAGTTAGGAGTACTTCTTCCATGAGGTGCCAGTTAAGCTGTATTCTAATATATCTATTAATGTAGTGATATATCCAACATTTAATAAATTAATCTTATTACTAATTGCAGATATAGTGATTTGTTTCTAAATTAGTGAACGGGGATGTATCTTATGTGCTATCCATGATTTATGGAAGAATTTGTAGAGATGGTAATTTCTTCCAAAACTGGTAAAGTTTAGTGGAGATTTTTAATCGTGGAGATGAAGCCCAGTTATAGCATTTCAGCAAACCCCATCTGGGTAATTGAGATTGTTGATTTATTAGCCATAGTTAGGAGTACTTCTTCCACGAGATGCCAATTAAGCTGTATTCTAATCTATCTATTAATGTAGTGATATATCCAATATGTAATAAATTAATCTTATTACTAATTGCAGATATAGTGATTTGTTTCTAAATTAGTGAACGGGGATGTATCTTACGTGCTATCCATGATTTATGGAAGAATTTGTAGAGATGGCAATTTCTTCCAGAACTGGTAGAGTTTTGTGGAGATTTTTAATCGTGGAGATGAAGCCCAGTTATAGCATTTCTGCAATCCCCATCTAGGGAATTGGGATTGTTGATCTATCAGTCATAGTTAGGAGTACTTCTTCCACGAGATGCCAGTTAAGCTGTATTCTAATCTATCTATTAATGTAGAGATATATCCAACATGTAAGAAATTAATCTTATTACTAATTGCAGATCTAGTGATTTGTTTCTAAATTAGTGAATGGGGATGTATCTTATGTGCTATCCATGATTTATGGAAGAATTTGTAGAGATGGTAATTTCTTTCAAAACTGATATGGTTTTGTGGAGATTTTTAATCGTAGAGATGGATGTTCATAGAATAATTTTTTAATAAAATGAGAATGGAGGTATTTTTCTCTTTGATAAATTTCACGAAGAAGTTTCTTCATTCCACGGGATCGTAAACACTAGACATCAGCATATAATAAAAATATATAAATTTATTTTTATATATATGTTTATAAATATATTATTAATTAATTTTTATTTATTTAATTTAATTGGCCAGTTCAATTCAACCGAAATTACCCAACCAAATTT